TCCAGGTTGTTGATGAAAATATTGAACAGTACTGGTCCCAGTACTGACCCCTGAGGGACTCCACTAGTCACAGACCTCCAACTAGATTCTGTCCCATTGACCACAACTCTCTGCCTTCTTCCTTTCAACCAGTTCATGATCCACCTCACTACCTGACCATCCAAATCCTACTTTCTCAGCTTATCTACAAGGATGCTGTGGGAGACAGTGTCAAATGCTTTACTGAAATCAAGACAAACCACATCTCCACCCTACCATCATCTATCCACCTAGTTACTTCCTCATAGAAGGCTATAAGTTTGGTCAAACATGAATTCGCCTTGGTAAAACCATGTTGACTGCTCCTAATGACCCCCTCATCCTTGCTGTGCTTAGAGATAGAGACTGACCAGCCTATAGTTACCTGGGTCCTCCTTCTTGCCCTTCTTGTAGACTGGAGTGACATTTGCTATCCTCCAGTCCTCAGGCACCTCTCCTGTTGCCCACAACTTACCAAAGATGATGGAGAGTGGCCCAGCAATGACCTCCTCCCTCAGCACCCACACGTTCATTCCATCTGGACCCATTGATTTATGGATGTCCCAATTGCTTGACTGATCCCTCACCCAATCCTCATCTACCTAAGCCAACTCCTCCTTCATCCTGACTTCTTCTGGACTTACAGGGATCTGGGGGCCTTGGGGAGAGTCTGCAGCAGTAAAGACACAGGCAAAGAAGGCATTCAGTGCCTCTGCCTTCTTTCTGTCCTCTGTCACCAGGGCACCCACCTCCTTCAGCAGTGGGTCTATATTGCCTCTAGTGTTAGTTCTATCTGCAGTGTATTTGAAGAAACACTTTCTATTGTCTTTGACCTCACTAGAAAGGCTTACTTCCAAGAAGGCCTTAGCTTTCCTAACTGCTTCCCTACGTCTTCTGACAACAGTCCTATATTCCTCCCAAGTGGCCAGCCCCTCCTTCCCTGATCCATAGATTCTCTTTTTCCACTTGAGGTTTCCCAGCAGTTCCTTGTTTAACCATGCAGGTCTCCTGGCTCCCTTACTTGATTTCCTGCCCATTGGGATGCTGTGATCCTGAGCTTGCAAGAAGTGGTCCTTGGATGTTGACCAACTATCTTGAGCTCCTTTACCATCTAGTACCCTGTCCCATGGTACTTCTCTTAGCAATTACTTGAAGAGGCCAAAGTTGGCCCTGTGGAAGTCCAAGGTTCTGGTCCTGCTGGGTGTTCTGTTCCTCCCACATAGGATCCTGCACTCCAGCATCTCATGATCACTGCAACCAAGGCTGCTATTGACCATCACTGCTCCAACCAGACCCTCTTTATTGGTGAACACAAGATTCAGCAGCACTCCTCTCCTAGTTGGTTTGTACACCATTTTTATCAAGAAGTCATCATCGATGCACTGGAGGACACACCCTTTAACTTCCCTGTCGGGCTCAACTCCTACCATTTTATTCCATAGATTCCACACCTCTCCCTCGGAGCGTCCATTTAACAAGACCCATAGTGCTTTTGAATTATTTCCCTGACATATCCCTAGCCTACCTTTCCTGAACCTTGGTCCCCCAGTTTGTGTTAACCCTTAATAAACCAGTTAATGCG